AGAGGCGATAGGAGAATCAAAGTCCCAAGTCGAAAACGGCGAAATCGTGATGATAGTTGACAGGGCAATGAACTGCGAGTCTATCTCTCCTTGTCTTGCGGAACCCGTGACCGTAACCGGCGATTATCCGTTATCCCCGATGCTGGACACGGTGGAGACCTGAGCTGAGGATTCGCGGGGATGAACAAGTGGAAATGGAGGTTTGTGGCTGTGGCGGATTGATTTGGACAAGAAGCGGATTATCCGTGGTTTTGAGCAGAGACTTTCTTGGGAACGTGCAGTGGTGACGAAATCATGGTGCTCGTGGCTTGCCAGAGCCTGAGAGAAGCTTCACAGAAGTCGCTGGACCTGGTCTAGATTTCTTCTTCATGGGGATAGAACGGCGATCTCGATTCTCGATGGTCTCGATTGCCGAATTACAGCCGACTCGACCGAATCGATCGCGTCGCAACAATTAATTGCTCAAGAGTGAGTCGGAAAACCCCCCTGGATGCTGCTTTAACCCCATTTCCTCAGCATTCCTGAGCCGATGGATCCAGTATGTAGACTCGACAATCAATTTACTCTGTACTCGGCGAAAGCCACCACGACCACAGCAGTGACAGTACCAACCTTAATATTCAATGTCGGACAAAGAACCCACTGGCCAGCAACTTCCAACAAGTTTGATACCGTCAGATGCGTATCCTCGTCATAACCGTATTTGCGATGAATGATGAACATGTCCCAGAATCAATATCTACATGACGTTATTGCCCTAGAGATAGTCCACGAGACCTCCTGTTGTTATTGTATATTATGTACTCCATCCCCTTTCTCATACCCAATTCAACGCCATCTAAATCATTACTCCGACCAGGATCCTTGCTTCAATGAATTTCTTGAAGATTTCAGAATTGAAGAACGCCTGGCGCTCTGCTGCCCAGTTTCAGTCGGTATGAGATGAAGCTCGATGGTTCAATTTAATCTCTCTAGAATGCTCAACTAGCTAAGATACAATGAGGGTGCTGGAATGCGGACTGACAATTATAATCCATTATATGCATCAGTAACAAGTATTTCCTCAGTATGAGCAGGACCTTACCTGCGCTTAACCGCGTAGCGGCCAGCCTGTCATTGACCATCTCGTGCAAGAGGCCTATAGCGACCTCGTGGTTGGGACCCGGCATTCCTTGACCATGCTGCCTGCAGACATCGACCTCTGAAATATCCACGAGGCAATGCCAGCCAGCTTGGGGGGTGTTCCGCCGGGCACTGTCAGACTCATGGCAGTATGATTGGACCGAAACTGGGGCTTTCTAACGAAGAGGATTGTTCGTCCTGAATCCGTTAAACCAATTGGTTTTCTTTCTACTTAGGATTCTATAAACCGCGCTATTGTCATGCTCATGCTCTCATCTGGTTCATTTTGTGCTTTGGACCATCGTACCAGAAAGAGTAATCCGCATTATCTGTGGTCATGAGGTCCTGCTCTTCCCAAAAAAACATATCCTAAGCGTGTCTCCGTCGTCTACGCGAGCAACACCCTTGACTGGCGATGCAGAACTCTTGACGAACTCTTTTGCATTATCCATTTAAGTGGAACGCATTCGTGGTTGTGTTCATCGCCACGCCCAAGCCACTAAAGTGTATTGGTGACTAGTCAAGGCGTTGGGTCGCTGTTTTTATCTGAGATGGTACTTGCGCTTTGTGTTGGACTGGGGTTTGGCTGATGTAGGTCATTGCTCCCATGTTGAACACGTCGTCGTTGTCAGGCTTGCGATCATCTTGAACAAGCCCGTGATAGTCTCACGAGCAAATCCTCAAGCATCTTGTTAAATTTATTCATCTCAATAGCGATTGCCCTGAGGAGTTCTCTTTCGGTATGTTTGTCGTCTTGCACATACGTGCGGATGTAAGACAGTATAGCCCATACAACGGCAGTCAGATCCCGATGGTGGCTATTATCCGGTTTATGTCCACTTGAGCCATTGTTACGTACTTGTGGGTAGTTATGAAAGGGTGAGTAAGAATCAGGTATCGGGTGCGGTGCCTGCCTTTGCAAAGATGACACAAAACATGGCCAATCGAAGAGATCTTAGGCAGTTCCCCAGGACCTTTAGTACTGGGCCGTTTAAGTTGAGCCCAGCCTCCATAATGTACAGCCCTGCTCGCGCACAACTAAGGCCCACATCGAGCCGATTAGGATCGCCTAAGAACTGGAGGCGGGACATTAAAGTGATCCCGAAAACTCCCGCGGGAGATCCACGTCCTTGGAAGCTGTAAACAGTGTGGATACGCTCGCCTTGGAGCCGGTGGTTGGAGCAGAAGCTCTGTTGGTCCGTTCTTCTTTGCGATGCACGATGAGATGGTACAGTATCGTCCAAAAACATGGGCAACCAAATCCCGATGGTGGCTGTGATCTCGATTGTGTTAAGCTGCTGAGCCATTGTTACGTACTTTTCAAATACCGGTGCATCTGACTGCATACCCGGTTTGAATATACTCTTTCAGGGCAAGGCCGTTCCCCAGGTACTGGGTCTCCCTTCATCATGGCCAGTGCCATAGATTCAACCAGTTTAGGCATGACCACAGCCTATCACCCAAACGGCGGTCATCCGGTAGTACCCATGGCCCCGGGACCCAGATAAATGATCGGGTCAGTTTTCCGGCTAAACTTCAACACTGCCTATAGACCAATTAGCTGGCACACTTCGGTGGAGCGGCATAGCCTTACCTGAAGGGTTCGGACAGGGTCGGACAGGGTCGGACAGTGTAGGTCCAAACTCGTTTTCGGACGGTAGCCCGGAGGCAACGTAGTCCATCGATGCTGGCAACGATGGCACCAACCTTGGTCGGCGTTGTGTAGAGCGGTAGTCATTTTACCGCTCTGGATGTTAGAATAACGGGAGTACGTCTATACCCACGGTTTTTGATGCATCCCTTAAAGATGTAGAAGATAGTTTGCTGATATGTACATGGGCAGTGGACAGCTAGGTGGTTGAGGGTATCATACTCTCCAGACCCCGAGAGATTCCAGCTCAGAGAGGGAAGGTAAGGCTAGTGAATGATACATAGTCATGACAAGATAGAGAAGGCAAGAAACAGGAAATTGAGATGGATCTTCACTCATTAAGTGTCTCTATAGAGCATTGAATGTGGTATCATTCACTCCATCTGAGATAGACATACTCTGGCAGGAGAAACCTACACCTTCTACCATTTCATTCACTATAGCTATTATCTCTACAATTTTTCCAGATGGACTCATTAGATGAAGAATCATACTTGTTATCCCATATTAGTCTTCTTCAGTTGCCATCATGATGACACCTAAGAAGCAACTGCTGGAGACCTGCACATAATTTACATCCGTTCCTACCCCAGAAGTAGGGTTTATCAAGTACATGCAAAGTAGAAGGGGTTATTGCAAGTAATATTTCCTGGCGTCCATCAATTACCCTGTTCATGATGCAGCTCATGCGGAATAGCGCAGAAAAGTCTTCTAGTAAATATTAACATGAATGCCTATAATTGAAATTGACGTTTAGCGCAAAAGGGCTGATTCTGCCTACAAGTACACACTATACTTCAAGCTCATGGCTCAAAAGAGTGAAGAGTCCGGGGCTGAACCTGCACAATATGGATGAGAAGGGTTTCCTCATTGGAGTGCTATCGAAAGGTGAAGAATCTTTTCACGACGCTGGCATGAGAAAGGGGCCTCCCAACAATGAATCCGGGATGGAAATACGGAGCTGATTACTACAGTTGCCTGTATTTGAGAAGATGGGACAGCTCTTCCACCTGGTTGATTTACCAGGCTGTTTCTCAAGATATGCAAAATATGTTGCTTCAGGATTTTAGCCCTGATGATCATTACTGCTCTTTTACATCTTCTCCTAGTGGTTGGACCAACGATGAGCTAGGATATGCGTGGCTTACAACTTTATTCCAAGAGGGCGTGAAGATGTGAAGGTGTTGGCGACTTCTAATCTTGATGGCCATGGCTCCCACGTCAGTATGAAGTTTATTAACTTCTTTGATGCCAACAAGTCCCTTCTGGCTGTCTATCCACCTCATTCAACTCATAATTTGCAGCCTCTTGATATCAGTCTTTTCAGCTCTCTTTCTCGACCATACAGCCGCGAATTGGAGCAATTTATGCATGAATATCAAGGATTAAGTCATATTACAAAGCGAGATTTCTTTCAGGTGTTTTAGTCAAGCTGAAATAAAGCTTTTTCAAGCAAAAATATCAACAGTGCATGGGAGTCTGTTGGTTTAAAGCCTTAGAACCCAGCGGTTGTTTTAGCACGCTTCACCAGGAAACAAGATGAAAGACCCCTTCTAGTGAGCCTACGCAATCTGTCTTGGAAGGCAGACGACTGCATCGCATTAAGAAGCTTCTGGAGCAAGTTATTCCTAATATCTATGATGTCAAGTGCGGCTTCTATGCAGCTTCAGAATGATATCAGACATGTTCAAAGCTGTGCCAAGGTTGATGCTTGCGCCCTGCTGAGCTGATCATACAAAGTCCTAGTATGTTGTCCTGGAAGGGACGCATCGATCTCTCCTATGTACTTGCCAAAAGGATTTTGTAGGAACTGCTCCTTTCGTGCCTGATTGACCGTAGTTCGTATTTGCCTTCACACAGTGGATCTTGCGCGTTGGGTAGCCCAAAGCTGGTGGATCTGGCTGGGCTCCGTTCTGGGTGGTGTAGTGGCTCGCTGCCTTAGCCATTTGAACTCCTTGGTTCTGTAAATAATTTGCTATCCACCTGATCGTGAGTTGGATGTCAATCTGCATCACCTGCTCGATTTGTCTAATGATCTGCTGTATGACTTGCTGTAGAAGTGCAGGGATGCTGTCAATGTGATCTGACCGCGATCTCACCTACCCCGCTTTCTCGACATGGTCGAAGTGAAGCCCCTTTGAGGCTTTGATATATACGGTATACCCCATAACTGTGGGCACAACACAAAACACACGTCAACTTTCTCTTTGGACATACGCCGTACGTTATGAGCGCAACAAACTTTACGGACGAAGCTCACAAGGCTCTGCTAGATTCGAACGATCTGGCATCAAAATATGCTCACCCTCAGATCCTGCCCATCCATCTGGCTGTCTCGCTCCTCAGTCCTTCGCTACCTGGGTCTAAGGACCAACAAGCGTATGTAGCTAGCGTGCCGCTCTTCAAGCAAGTTGTCGAGCTGGCGCACGGCGATCCAGAACTGCTTCACCGCTCGCTATTCAAGTTGCTGATACGACAACCGACCCAAGATCAAATCACAGAGCACGTCAGTCTTTCTCCTGCTCTCGCCAAGGTAATACGGTCCGCAAGCGAGCTTTCCAAGACTCAGAATAGGAGAGATGGCTATGCCGCCATTGAGCACCTAATCCTGGCTGTGACTCAGGACTCGCAAGTCCAGCAGGCCCTGGCAGATGCAAACATCCCAAATGCTAAGCTGATCGACCATGCTGTACAGCAGATTTGCGGCTCCAAGCAGATAGACTTGACGACTGCGTATTCAGAGAGTGAAAATAAAAATAGAAATCTGAGCAAATTCACTATCGATATGATAGCGCAGGTGAGAGAAGGCAAGATTGAACCTGTGCTCAGCCATTATGAGGAAACTAGACAGGTCATCCAGATTCTGAGCAGGCGGACGAAGAATAACCCTATTCTGATCGGCGAATCGGGCGTCGGAAAGACTACGCTTGTGGCGGGTCTTGCACATTTGATCTGTAATGCAGAGGCCCCTGCAAGCCTGTTGCATTGCAGACTACTCTCTCTTGACATGGGTTCACTTATTGCTGGATGCAAGTATCCTGGAGAATTTGAAGAAAGGATGATGGGTGTCCTGAAGGAGGTTGAGGAGTCAAAAGATACGATCATCCTCTTCATCGATGATATCCACTTTATCATGGATGCTCCCTCCAGCAGTGATGGAGGAATGGGCGCTGCAAAGCTGCTCAAATTAATGCTAGCTAGCGGGAAACTCCACCGCTGCATTGGAGCCACGACAAATATGGAATACCGGAAGTACATGGAGAAGGATCAGGTTTTCCGTCGATTTCAGCAAGTGCTGGTGACAGAGCCGTCAGTGTCAGAGACCATTTATATCCTCAGGTGTCTCAAAGCCAAATATGAAGTGCACCACGCTGTAATTATCCATGATGGTGCCGTCGTCGCTGCTGCCAAGCTTGCCGCTCGCTATCTTATAGATCGACGACTTCCCGACTCAGCCATTGACCTCATCGACGAGGCCGCAGCTGCGGTGCGAATTGCTCGGGAGACTCAACCGCAGCCTCTCGGCAACTTGGAAAGGAAGCTGCAACGACTCCAGGTTGAAATCCACGCCTTAAATAAGGGAAAAGATGAAGCTTCAAAAGCACAGTTGGAAGTTGCTAAGCAGGAAGCTGTGAACTGTGCAAAGGACCTGCAGCCGCTACGTGAGAAATATGAGAGTGAGAAAAAGCGAAGCAAGGAAATACAGGATGCCAAGATGAAACTTGACTCACTTATTGCCACGAGAGACGCGGCAGAACAATCTGGAGACCTCCAAACCGCTGCAGACATGGTGTACTACGCCATTCCAGAGTTGAAGGAACGGATCGAGAGGATGGAGGCGGAGAGGACAGAAGCCTGTGCGGAGCAACGCGCTCACCAGGGAGAAGTCGATGAGGCCTGGTTCCCTGCTGATGCTGTTGGCCCTGCCCAAATCCATGAGCTCGTCGCCAGATGGACCGGAATTGCACTCACGAGTGTTGTGATATGAGGGCTCGCGTCGACGCTGTACAATCTCCTCAGAGGTATAGCTTCCATAGCTTCCTTTATCTAGTATTGCTTGTTTGTCTGGGTAAGCCGCTGTGGCTAGACAATTTGCCATGCGGTTGGGTGCATCGTACCGATGCTATCATCCAACCTGAACTTCTGGACCTCGTAGGCTACATCAACAAGCTTCAATTCTTGCCAGTTTGGCGTGCTGGCCGATTGCTCGAAGAAGGCTCCTGCTGATGTAAAAATATCCATCCATTGCTCGACGGTGAGTGTCCCTTTTCCACACTCCAACTGTCAACCTTGTTCCGCTGGGGAAAGATGTTATCTGTTGAAAAGCTCCCGGGGCGCTACTTTCGGGGGTTTTCGCCTCGGGCTTCAAGTCAGACTCTCGATGACCGACAACGAAGGCGATTTTGGCTGCTTTACGGAAATCTTTTTCCGAAATGTACCCTTGCCTGATGGATTCGTCGAGTGCTCTATGCATTTCGAGGACAACTACTGCCTTTTTGGGTGTCAGTTTCTCGTCGGGATAGCTTTTGGTCGTCATTTCCTAGGCTGGTTGAAATCCCGCTTCGTCTCGTACTTCAGCCAAAAAATGCTGATGCTAATTGCAAACACGCATAGCGATTTGTTTTATGCGAACTAGGAGAAAAGTTCAACGTCAAGATACGCTTTTTGAAGTGGCTGTGATGGCTGTAGGATGGATGATTCTCGTAAGAGGGGAAGGATAGGTTAAAGCGAAAGGGAGTGATGAATTGTATATCAAATTCCTCAAGCATATAGACCCTTGAGTTTTTATATAAGAATAGTAATAATCAACCTTCCTAGAATACATAAATATCGAATTAATGACATCTATACCCATTCAGACGCCGGCAAAGTTCTTAATGTCTCAGCATCTACCTCTTTGCATCTGTTCGCAGCTTTACAGCGTGTCAGATATTGTTAATTTTCTAATCCTGGGATACTGCATTACTCTATCTTTCATCCAAATTCTATTATAGAACTACTGAAACCGGCAATTTCCTGGCGATTTTGAATAGTATGCCTCCAGCCCTGAGATTGCTGGCTTACAGCCCGTGGCTCGTCCACAGGCGACTGGCTGGCAATTTACTTGAGAGTCCAGGCAAGGGGGTTAGTCGTAGCGCAGCTGCCTTAGTGAATCTTGTCTCTTGCTCTTCAAGCAGAAGATTGACTCGCAAATATTGATTGGCTTACAGCCTATATTAAATAGAAGTAGGATATAGGCTAGCTACACCAGAATTGCCGCAATCAATCAATATCAAGCAGCTGGTACTTTCCCCCCTCTCCAGTCTCCGCATCATAATACTCCTCCAACGCGTTCTCAACAGCAGCCATATACCCCAAAACCTTCTCTTCCTGCCACCGTCTTCCAACAACCTGCACCGCAGTCGGAAGACCCGCCATCTTGGCCGCATCATAGTGCTTCCACGCCCCGCGGGCAATGGCATGATTTGCGCCAAGCTGGTTCAGAACGGTTTTGTACGGGGCGCGGAGCGCATCCTTCTTCGCGTCGACGTGCGAGACCGGCAATACACCCGCGGAGTAATCGAGCAGGTTCCACAGGAAGGTATAGCCGCAGGAGGAGACGGCGTCGTGCATAGCCTTGTGCGGGAGAGCAGGTGTAGCGTTCACAGGGCACAGGATGAAATCGTATTGCTGGGACTCGGCGTCCCACCAGGCGTGCCAGGTGGCGCGGAAGGCCTCGCGGCGGGCGACGAGCTTCCACTGCTCGGCTGCGGATTTGTGCTCAAAGCTGCGGATTAGCGCGGCCCATTTGGTATCGCGCTTGATATAGCGGACGTAGAGGTAGTAGAGGTAGCGAAGGGGACGGGGCAGTTTGGCGATGCGGGTCAGTTGTGCAGCGCCCGGGTCGGAAGGTTCGAAGCTGTAGCGGTGGGAGTTGAAGGTGGTGCAGCCGTCGGAGTTGAGGAGTTGAGAGGCAAGCGTCAGACCCGTGAAGGGGTCGGCGGATGCCGGGGGCGTGATCTCAGAGACTGTGTGGCCGGCTGCTGTGAGCGCAGCGACGGTGGTGGCGACGGCGCGGCTGATGGCGGGCGTGGGAGGGACGACTCCTAGGGACGGTCAGCTTTGTCGAAGTTTGCGTGAGGTGAAACATACCATCTGAAGACATCAGTCCGATGCGCAGCTGTTTTGTCTGCGCTTCCTTCTCCTCTGCGTCCCGCCAAGCGATGGGATGGACAGTATTGTCATACTTCCATGGCTGCATGCCGATGATCGCTCGTGTAAAGTAGGCGAGATCGTTCAATGTCCGGGCCATTGGACTAAAGACACTGGCCACTCCTTCCTGGCCCGCCATGCTGGTGCTAACACCAGCCTTGGGCCAGCGGCCTGTACTGCACCGTAAGGAGTAGATGCCGCTCCAGGCCGCAGGAACTCGCACCGATCCAGCAACATCAGACCCAATACCGATACGGCCACCAAGGGCAAGTATAGCACCCTCGCCTCCGGTTGAACCACCTGGTGAGTACTCAGGAACATGTGGGTTCAAACACCGACCCCAGAGACCATTGAAAGATTCAAACGACAGAAGCGTCACCGGGAGTGCAGTCTTGGCGTACGGGACAGCACCTATTTCACGTCAGGATCGGTAACTCCGGAAAAATAATAAGTTGCAGCCATACCAGCATCCTTCAACAACTTCACCATTGGCCCATCCTCGGCCGAAGGCTTCCCAGCCATCCGCGCATACCCAACAGACGTGTCAAAACCCTTGACCTGCACTGAATCCTTGAGGGAGACGGGTATCCCGGCCAGCGGACCTTTGAGATTGACTTCCGTCTGAACCCATGTCTCCGCTTCGGGCAGCAGCAGCTCAGTCACGCAGTTTGTGCGTTCCTGGGCCTTCACTGCCACCTTGCCGTATGTACGGAGAACATCTGTTGGCGAAAGGGAGGAGTTGTGGACAGCCTCAACCAGCTCTTCAATTGGCTTGTTGATAATACTCTTATCTGTCGCCGTGAACGCAGTGTGGTAGTCTGGGGAGAGGGAAGCGAAACGGGCGGCCCGTTCCTTTTGCTTCTGGTCCCTGATAAATAGTTAGACTGTGCTGTATTGTTGGTGATGTTGCGCTTGAACTTACCGGACCCGGCGGTAGGTGAAGTAGTCAAATGGTGGTAGCATAACGAAGATCTCAATCGCACCGAGGTTGATGAAGAAACACTGCCTCGAAGCGCAAGAAGGAGAATATGAATATAGATAAATGGCGCAGGGGCTAACCGTTGCTATTTATTGCGGGGAAAGCTTGGACACTAATGCGGAGAAAGCGATAAGGCCCGCTGATAAGCGCGTTGTCCAAGCTCGGTTTGTCCGCGGTCAGGATATCAACAACCAGCCGCAAGAACGATTCCTATCACGATGATGAGATTGCTGATACAATTGTAGCGTTTTTTACTGTAGCTTGTTACCAAAAAATGGAGTTTATTCTTGTTATGTTGGCAATTTGTTGAAAAAGATGGCGATGCGATGAGTAGAAGTAGAGGGCACGTGACCTACAACAAGTGCCGACAACCGAGTGTCTGGCCCAATCAGGAAAGTCCATGCGGAATTGGGTCGACCAGCGAACAAAAGACCGCGATATATCTATAAGCTATCTCTCGCTTATCAGTTTGATACTCTGTAGAAGTCACTGAAAGCTAGGAGTGTAGATAAGGTTACTCCTAAGCATACAGCAGACTCCCAAGACTTCCCGAGAAACGAGGTCGAGTCACCTGAACTGCTGGCTGAGACTTCTCATCTTTTTTATCAGGCATAAATACGCGCTTTATCCGACTTTGCGGGCAATGAAATGGGTAAGAGAGAAGCTGTGAGATTTATTCTCATTGCCACTTAGATACGAGCTTATATGACAAACATGGTTTGTTCACATATTGAAGGTTCAAATATTCCAACTCCAGAATACCAAGACTGACATGATTTCGTGTATACTCGGGTATTCGCACTGCATAGAGCACATTGGCCCAGTGCAAAGCACGGTAACGAGACCGGCTCATTCAGTCAGATTTAAGATTGCAATGGGACTATCTGCCCCTTCCACCTTGGCATATACTGGATCATTCGCTCGGGGCGATATGCATCAAGTCTGCGGTCCGGTGGAGTTGTTGCTATCATTTCGATATGATCGCAATCGATGAGTTGGCGGCCGTGGAGGATTATTCTTCAGGCTGGACAGTGCACATTGACCTGGCACCTCTCATCCTCTCGGTCCCCTATCGCGATTGTCTTGTAACCAGTGGTGCGCATGGAGCCACAGGAGGACCACGATAATACCGGCCACGAGACTCGAAATGGCCAAGAAAATGACAAAGCCACATACTATCGATCGTCGTTTCTTTCGGTACTGTGCTTGGATCCAGTTGTCCCTTTATTTCGTTAGTGCTATGTGACCCTTCCACGTAAAACCAACAGTCATGATGCGAAAGTACTTACGGGTGGGCCGTGCTCTTGTTTTGAGCTGCAGCTTTTGCTTCCTCGTCCAGATGAACCGCGCGTGAAAAGCGCTTCCAGAACAACGGATCCCTCACAAGCGCCATTATTCGAGATGCTTAGTGCGAGTCGGACATTGAGATTCGACAACTTTGGTGAACGTTGTATGTGGGACTAAATCCTTCGGGCTGGCGAAGCTGCGACAAGTCACGACGGGGTGAGGATGAACCAGTGCCCCGTCGACTGAAACCGAAGGACTCGAGCGCAGTGGTCAAGATGAAATATTGAAGAAGTGTAGGGTGATGTTAAGGACAATCAGACCAAACCGACGAAGATAACGAAAGGTTGATCTTGGATGAGAAGGGAACAATAAGAGAAAAATCAAAACAGAAAACAAGGCAGTTGCAAGGCAGTTGCAAGGAATCCCGCCTTGAAAATCAAAATATGCCATCCAAGTTTGACCGGGCATTGCAAAGCATGCATCCATTCACCGTGCCCAGTCTGGCATTCCAGTGGCCTCCGTTGGAATGGCACGAGAGGCAGAAGAAGGCTGGAATGGTCTCAATCCGCGTTATAAGGGGAGACACTACTCACTTTCCGGCCAATTAGAGTCTACCTTATGGCAGTGCTATAGACCCCCACCAATTATAAGCAACCTTTTGTTTGCGTTTTAAAGGCCTCTCTTCCTTGACAAATCCACCTGCTAGGCAACGACAAAGAATCATGGAAGGTAAAATTCGCATGTCATCTAATAATAGATAGATTGAGTTATCACACGATTGTCTTTCGGTTGCATGATTCTAACTTTGTCGTGTCGTACAGGCTTTCTAGTCTGGCCGCAAAAGCAGTTCATCGAGAGCATGGAATATAAGCATAGGAAAGCTATAAAAACGCAGTTTTCAGTTAAAAAGTCTAGAGCCCATGATCTATGAAGAGAACATGTGCGAACGCGCAGATTGTCGAGCCAAGTCCAAGATGCGCCTCGTCAAAGCCACATAGTTCATTGCCGGTTTCTGCAATCTTGGCTGATTCTCGAAAAGACTGAGGATGCATGAGGATGCATGAGGATGGTCAGATGGTTTGCTCCTGGTAGCAATTCAGTAGCATGACAAATAAGTAGCTGTTTATTAGCTGATTGGCTTCACTTTCAGCAGGATGAGAAGTAGTACGGTGTCTCTTGTATCCTGAACTTCTGAGAGGGAGATAGAGGTCGGTAGTTTGAAGACTGAAAAACATGCATCTGGAACGAAACTGCAGATGGTGAGAGTACTTGCAGATATGCAGAACACCACCAAAGTCCAGTATCGAGTACCTGCAGAATAACCAGCGTTGGAAAACTGCTTTATCATTCAGTTCTAATTTGCTGATCGCCTCTAGCACTGCCTTTGTTGACTATTAATTGATTATACACAGTGGAGCAAGATAATAGTGGGACGGCCAGACCATGGTCCAGCGGCGAGAACCGACCCATCAGCGGTCCATGAGAGGTGCCTGGTCATACCTTGATAGTCTTCAACAACCAAATCAATAATTCTACTAACTCCAGTGAGTGTTGATGCAATGTTACACCCTCAGACCACTGCCTCTGCCTGCAGTCATGGTGTCATGTCACATGCGGGGCTGTCAGGTTGTCAGGAGTTCAGGCCACAATCTGACTTCCTAAGGCGCGGGAAAGACCAAAACAGCATCGTGCATCGTTGACTTTGCACCGTTGCAGCGCTCCGTCTTCCAGCTTCGCCATCGTTCAATCATCGGTGACCTTCCGCGTCTAATTGCAGATGAGGCGGATTGAGTTGGCTTCTTGCCAGCAAACGAAATCGCTTTGGGGCCTTGGGCCACCCCGCAGTGGAGCGGAGCAGAGGTGCCTGACCGCTCCTGTTGCCTATCTATCTATCTGCGCACCTACTGCGGTCCCTTTGTCCTGACCTTGGTTCTCTCGAGCTCTGCTCCATCTCATATACTCCCTTCCATCTGAATCTGGGCCATTGAGGAACGAAATCCGTTGCTGCGTTCAGATGCACGTCACTTTCTCGCCTTGGCCATCAACTCCGCCCGGTCATGTCCTCCGCACACGATGCAGATGCGGGCGCCAATTTCTGGGGAGTGTTGATCAACGCCGACAAGAGTCCTGCCCCGTTACTCGAACAGCTATGTCTGGGGATCGCACAGTTGATGGTCAATCTGATGTTACTCCTCGTTCATATCATGCAGGTGGCTAATGTCTTCTAGACCACCTTTGACGAATACGCTACCACCGACCTCACCCCGGATCGACTGGCCGCCTTTTATCGTAAAGTCGGCGGCAACTATGACATCCTCTTCCTCGAGACAAAGTCCTCCGCCCTGTCATTCATATATCAGCGTCTCGGGTGTTTCCACAGCATTCAGCCCACGAATGATCCGTTTAAACCGCCGTCCATTCCAGCATTGCAACCTAACGGCTTTGTGAGATGGCAGACGATCCAGCTGCTCCTGGATCCTGACGAACATGCACGCTATTTGCAAAATGCCGTTGCGCTGTGGGACATTGAGAACCCTAATGGAGGAACTTTTCCAAAGACCATCCCCCGAGACGCTTTCCCGTCGGAACCAGACCCGGAGATGGTGGACTGGCATGAGGGAGTCAGCCGGCGATTTGAATTCGACTACTACAGGAAAAATTTGCGATCCTCTCCGCCCAACTTCCACACATACCAATGGCAATTCAGCCAAAAGGACGCATCCCCTGAGCAAGAGGACCACACCTCGAGTCACCGGCCTCCAACACCACAGCCCCGGCGACACACGGAGCCAGAGGAACCGCCTCGGAGGAGTCGCCATAACAGACAGCGTAATGGCGAGCTCCCTACGACCGCAGCTCGAAGAGTCAAATCCACCTATTTTCCCCGTGCAGAGGAGGGGCCTGAATTCGCGTCTCGCCGAGCGCCATCGCCGCCCTTTCGACCAAGACCAGCCACAAAATCAAGAGGCCGAGAACGACCGCACTCCTTCGTCTATCCAGCAAGCACAAAACCCCACCACGGCCAAGACACCTCGGACGCCTCGTCGGAAGACTCAGGATCCCCAACGCATGGGCAACCGCCGAGATCAGGACGACACAGCCATTCGCGGAACCTATCACCGCCCCGCTCCTCCCACGCTCGACGCCACTCGCACGAGCCATACGCCCGCAGACCCGAAGAAGACGTATCCCCAGACTCCCCACGCAGACACACCCACCGCGACGCCCATACCGCACACACGGGCCGGCTGTACGACTCCGACGGCGCGCGGAAACCCCGCCAGTCAAGAGCGTACAACGAGGAACCACCCCCCAGCCGATCCGCGGGCGTCCGATTCCGCGAACACATCTTCCACGAGCAACCCCCCGTCACGCCCTCGCAGGAGGTACCCCTCTACACGCACGTCCACCCCCGCTATATGAACGGGATCAGCGAGAACTATGTCTCGCATCCGCACCACGCCCGCCCCATGGACTCCTACGTCATGGACGACGGCCGCCGACACAGCTACCGCGACCCGACTTCAAACGGCTCGTCGGGCGCCCACCCCGGGGTCGAGCGCACCCGCTCCTATGCGGGGCGATCATCCCGGGTTCCAGGCTGGGCTAGTCCGCCGCAGGGCGGTACCCGATGCGTCCCCATTCCGATGGTAGACGTGGACTACCCGTCCCCGTCGGGGCGGAGGTCAACCATGTACGAGCGATAGTCGCTAGTCTTGCTGTGTCCACTGGTGTGTACTTCTTATGACGTAATGAGTAACGATGTTATGTGTCTCTTTTATTTCTTTTTGTCGTCTCATCTCTCAGTTACGGTTGCTATCATGGCGAGAACGGCGTCTGGATTGATTTTCATGTTCTCTTTTATATGCATGTGCATACGCATATCCTACGAAATCAGATCGATCTCGTGGCTCTCATTTCCTTGCTTAGTTTATACCACCGGTGTGACTGGTTACGGTGGAGGATTAGACACACTTATGAGAGATGATATTACGAGGTTAGAGGCTAGCCTGGTTATGGCAAGCCTAGAGGCGCTGATCAATCTGCTGTTCTGGATTTATTACCACTAGTATTATTTGCGTAGGTATATCCGTAGACTGGAGCTGGTCTATATAGAACCAGTCAACTGCAAGTTATGTATGTACACCTTTCTCAGTCTCAGGCAAGGGACGCCCGCTGGAAAGTAAACCCATACTGCTCAAACACCTTGCACTTGTCCGTGCCCTGCGGGTTCTGCGTCCAGGTAGGCGGCATATCGAGCAGGCTGACATTACGCTGCTCTGGGTGATACGGAGGAACATAATACCCGTTCTTTCCGAAGATTTCGTACGTCGCGGCGTAGGCGGGCCCACGGACGCGGAGCATCTCCGGGTCGGGGTTCGGGTTGCGGGTTCGAAAGAAGGAGCCGAAGACGTCGTCGAGGAGCTGCGAGTGGAGGAGGTCCGTGGTGTCGTAGTACGGGTCTACGTTGCGGGACTTGCTGTTGAGGGTTCCCCAGACGGGGAGGACGTCGGCGGAGTGGCAGGTGGCGTTGTAGTCGGTGTTTGGGGAGCAGATGGCCGGGACGCCGGCTTTGCTTTGGATGTGGCCGTGGGTGATTTCGACMTCGTAGAGGGCTGGGAAGGCGGTGGCGCCGCCGTTGGCGAGAAGATGGGCTTGCGGGCAGGTCCATTCGCTGTGGGTCAGTGCTTGGGCGGCGACGTTGCGGACTGTGTCTGGGTCGGAGGGATTGAGCGGGAAGGCGTTGGATGCAGCGAGAGACTTGGCTAGGTCGGTGGGGTATGCAACGCCGAAGAGGAGGTTGAGGTTTGTGGTGGTGGCCTCGATTTGTGGGACGGAGTTGGCCACGTAGAGGCTGGCTTCGTCGGTGACGGTGGTGAACATGGTTGGGACACGGTTGGGAAGAGTGTTGTCGGCAAGCAGGGTGTAGAACTGGTCGTCGATCACGCCGCTTCCCGAGTCGTCGACCATGGGCATCAGGGGCTCAATGGAGGCTAGCAGTGTCGACACGTGGAGGAAACCGTTGGCGACTTGCTTGTTCACAGCCGCCATGGCGGACTGGAACTCGGTCCTGTTGTCGAGGAAGGCCGATGCAGGCACCGAGCGCAGACAGGACAGCAGCTTCTCTTCGGAGACGGTTTGGTTGCCCTGTCCGCAGCCGACAGCCTTGGCGACCCCCGGCGCGACAATTTTCTCATATACCTCGCGGGTATACCATGGCAGATCCAGCGGGGCAGACTGAACGATCGCACCGGAGAATAAGCCTTTGGCTGCGCTGGACGATAGCAAGGCAGTCACACTCTGGCCGCCTGCTGACTGACCGAAGATCGTAATTCGGGACTTGTCGCCACCGAACGCTTCAATGTACTCGTTAATCCATTCAAGGGCGAGAATTTGGTCGCGGATGCCATAGCTCCCTGTCGTGAGACTGCCAGTCGCGAGCCAGCCCAGAGCGCCGAGACGGTAGTTGACCGTCACCACAACAACGTCGTTGCGACTTGCAAAGTTGCCCCCGTCGTAGTCGATCATGGACGCACTACCTTTGGTAAACGCACCTCCGTAGAAGTAGACGGCCACTGGTTTGCGCAGAGGGTTGCGGGCCCCATGCGCAGGAAGCACAGGGGTGTAGATGTTGAGATACAAACAGTCCTCGGAGATGCCACCGTTGCCCAGGGTACCAAAGCCGGAGACTGACTGGACGCAAGAGTCGGAGAATTTGGTAGCATCAAGCTTCTTGGGACCACTGTACGGCTGAGGCGGTGCAAATCTCAGGTCTTTGACAGGGGGGTTGGCAAAAGGAACACCCACGAATCGGAATGAACGTGCGTCGCGATATCCAGTGAAAGTGTAATCTTGATGCATTACCGAGATCTTGGATGACTCGACAACAGCTCTGTTCGTGTCTGTGGTGGGAGGGACCTTGGACGTACAAAGTGCGGGCAGCTGCATATGGCAAGGGATGCTCACAGTCTCCTTGCGGCTGAGAGAATAGGCAGAGCAGTCCTCTGGGGATGATTTTGAAACCCATACCTGGTCGCTCCTCTGGAGATCGCCATTATGAATGAGATAATTGAACTGATACTGAAGTTCGGTCCGGTTTGTTTCGGTCGCATCCTGCAGTGAGTACAGGCTTTCCCCGATGGCAGCACACTGCACCTGCGCCTGACCGTAGCTCAATCGACCATAAATCAGAACCGCGGCCGTACCGTTGTTTTCAGAGCCCAGATTATTGTACTTCAACGTTTGCAAAGTACTCAGAGAATTGATCTGAGGGGGACCTCCTGGAGCTTTGCACCCATTATTGGGAGGCGAAGGTGCTGCAGATACCAGCGAGCAAAAAAGCAGTCGAACAGCCAAAGATTTCAGCTGCATCTTGGCTTGGGGTCAAGGTCAAGGTCGCTATCCAGGGAGGAAGATGACAAGGGGAACCAGGCAGCTACCTCTTTTAAAGTGGTTTTTTGCAGCCCCGGCCAAGCTGCTAATCAAGGAACGGCAACCCTGACTGTGCTGGCCATGCAGAGAGGCGTCATTCGGATACCTCGGAAAGGAAAGGTGCAGGTGCCAAGGACGTGAGATACGTCCAAATGGAATAGGATGTTATTCGCCAACAAAGGGAGAAACTGGGGAATGATGGATGCGGAGAAATCCGACAAAGTGCGGAGTGCGCTAACATGGTTGACGGCCCTGGTTCTCGATATTAAATGGAAACTCCGTAATTCGCCAAGGTAGACTTGCCAGGCTTTGACCGTGGAGAGGAGGAGATTGTAGCCGAGGCGGACAGGGTAAGCCGGTAGGGTGACTTGTGAATGGCCATGTCGGCATCGCTGTTGGTTAGAGCGAGCAAACGGTTTAGACTTTAGATAATAACCAACCAAGCCACTTGCAATCGACCAATAAGCGAGTCTCACGTAAATCAAACCGATCAATTCTGTAAGCGATGGGGATCAATCGTGGACGAGGTTGAAGGAGTGTTGGTGTTGGTGTTTACTTGGGTCCTGGGATGGTTTTCGACGACTCTATCAGGCACCAAGGCTCATCCAAGGTTTTCCACTTCGGGTTAGCTCACTCGAGGCCAGCCCTAAGTTCTGAGACTCTGACAATGAGGAATTTGAAGCCATTCTAATCAATTGGGCAGACGATCATCGATTGTAGGGTGGGCACGAGTATCCGGAATTAGATGAAAGTCGTGATCGCTTGGGATAAACACATGTACTGCTGGCACGCATGGCTACTTACTCCATATAGATTCTGAACGATCCGAGCTATGCCACACGACCGTGACGCCCTTTCCCCTGGTCCTTGACTACGATGAAGGGAACGAACGGCTGCTTCCTAGGACTGAATCTGTTGTCTGGGATGGATGTCTTGGTTAATTTGAGCCTTTTGCTGAAGAAGCTCTATTGGCGCACCTCCAGTTATCAATTTCACTAACGGGGAAAGGAAAAGATAGTTTCTCCCTCGCCCGATAGAAGGGGAGATTTCTATGTTGCCTGGCGCGGAAGTAAAGACCGAGACAGCAGAGCAAGCTGTAGCAAGCGAGCGAGCATGTTAGCAGGAAACAGCAATGACTTGAAGATGCCTCAGGCTGTTTAGTTCTTGCCTTATATGCCAGGCGACCAGCTACCACACCTGATTAGGCAAGGCACTGGACAACAGGGAATATTCTCCTACGGAGCCGGTACACCCTTCTCCACTAGCGCTGTGGTTCGCTTCCGTTCCGGGGCTCCAGACATGACAACGAGCTAAATCGCTCAACCCAACGCTGTGTCAACGGCATGGAAGTGACAATAGATGATGCGTTACCTCACCACGCCCACATCGGGCCCAGTGACTGTCTTTACAGACGGGCTTGTTCCTGAGCATGAGTCAAATGAAGGAAGCGCTGGAGAAGTTCAAAGCACTCCAGTGTAAAACCGAGCCGGCGAAGATTCTCCGACTGGTCCCTGTGGCTGCAAGTGACACAGGGGTCAGGGTGATCCTTAAAGGCAGCAAGGAATACAAGATGGGATACGCACACCATGTTGGTTGGACGAGACATGATCACCCAGATTAAGGTTGAGTTTGAAGACCACCCGGTCCACGGAGAAAGCGTCAAGGTCGCTGATCAGTTTTTTTGGACCAATGTCCGCGGCGTCTTTGTTGCCGGGGATGCAGCGACTCCAATGAAGGTTGTCTCTCAGGCGATTGGTAACGGTAAGCAAATCCCTGTCTTCGTCTTTTCGGTACCTCGTGTCAGCAGTTGATCTAATCTACTGCGACAGGTTCCGCCGTTGCTGCTGGTATCGCGGTGCAGTTGGTTAACGACGATCATGGAGATTCTCTTGGTGGAAAAAGAAGACAGTTGACCTGACGGTTTGCATCTAGTGATATTACCGTGGGTTTCACTAATAGGGTCATCTCTACATAAGCAATTTGTGAACCGTGTAAGCAGCCAAGTATGCATAAACAATCAAGTTGCAAATTTCTAGAAACCCACGTGGCAGACCGTTACTTGGGCACCGTGAGCGCATAATAGATTCTTTAGGGCACATGGATAGGACAGAAAGAGGTATATACGGAGTTTCTATATTGCGGTGTTTTGGGTGGAGCTGGTATGCCTCGGTAGAGCAGAACTGAACATTCTCTTTCTCTGAATGCTTTTTAAAGGTACTACATGTACGAATAGCATCGATATAATATGATAACTATCCTTCTTCCCCTAGCGATAAACCCCGCCTGCTGAACGGATGCCCAAACATGGTAAACCCCAGCGGCCGTTCAATAACCGCATACACAAAGCTCCTCCCCAACCCGGCCCGTTCGTACAAGTCTACATTTCCCCCTCGGCATACCCAGTCCGGCATCTTGGAGCTGTGCTTAAACACTCAAATCAGCTGTAGGCTGATCATTTTCTGGTCCTAGTAAGCGGGCCATCGTAGCAACTGGATATGATTTGAGGCAAATCATGTCTGTAAGCMGAGGGAAACATTGAGTACTTAATCTAAGGAAGTGTTGTGTCAGAGAAGGGGCCCATAACTTCGAAAGCTAGCTATGGTCACAAGTTAACTAATCGCTGTTGGCGGAAGAGAGCCAGATTATATTTAATTATCTGCCAGTTGAATGTTTATTTAAAAACACGTTGATGGCTGCGTTTGCCATCTGACTCAGATTGTGATCCTGCGCGCATTCCTAGAATGTTCTCGAGCCCCGTCACTCGGCAGTCGACTGGCATCCCACTGTGGCCACATGAAGTAGATACCCCATACGGATACCCCCATACGGAGTAAATATGCTCCTTATCGCGCCTTCTTTGGACTATGAATCATCATTGTCGCTCCAGGCGGGACCGGAAATAACCGTGCGGAAAGCCAGTTGTTTCTTTGGGGTGGAGTGGAATGCAACGTCATAGCATCAGCAATTTCCTTTTGCGGACATGCCTCGGTCCGGCCGCCCGAATCCGATGCTGACATCGCTCTTGCTGGAGGGGGGCGAGATCTGGAATAGAAATAATCTCCCCCATCCGGAGCGATCTTCGTAAAGAAATTTAGAAGCATATCTTGTAGTAAATATGGCTCTGCACGCTGCATCGTGAATACTCGTTCTCAGCGTAGCGCACAAGCATCTTGACGACATGACAATAACCAAAGCAGTCCGCATCGTCGAGGTTGGACCCCGCGATGGCCTCCAGAATATCAAAGAGCCTGTTCCAACATCCGTGAAGCTCGAGTTAATCCAGCGACTACGCGCGACGGGCCTGCGGACTATTGAGTTGACATCCGTGGTCTCGCCAAAGGCGATCCCGCAGTTGGCGGACTGTCGCGATGTACTGGGGAGCGAATCAGTCAGACAAATGCAACGTCAAACTGGCCTTCGGCTGCCTGTTCTCGTGCCCAACATCAAAGGACTGGATATTGCGATCGAGCATGGAGTCAAGGAGGTTGCGGTGTTCGTCAGTGCGACGGAAGGGTTCAGTAAAGCCAATATCAACTGCACGGTACAGCAGGGAATAGAGAGAGCAAAGGCCGTAGCGGAGAAAGCGATTGAGTATGGGATTACCGTCCGAGGGTAGGTTTAGATTTCTTCGCCTGTTCCTTCGCAAGACGCATTGCTGATCTTGAAAGGTATGTCTCTTGTATTTTTTCTGACCCCTTCGATGGACCTACTGAACCATCGGCCGTGCTGCACTGCGTTCAAGAGTTGCTAGACATGGGCTGCTACGAAGTCAGCCTAGGAGACACACTCGGTGTCGGGAGCCCCGACAAAGTCCGCAGTCTGCTCTACTACCTAGCCGACCACAACATCCCGCTCGACAAAATGGCGGGCCACTTCCATGATACCTACGGCCAGGCGGTCGCCAATGTCTGGGAAGCGTACAACTGCGGCGTGCGCGTGTTCGATAGCAGCGTGGGCGGTCTGGGCGGATGCCCCTATGCGCCAGGGGCCAAAGGGAACGTCGCCACGGAGGATCTGGTGTACATGTTTGAAACGGCAGGCATCGATACGGGTGTTGACCTGCTGAAGCTCGTCGAGACGGGAGTGTGGATATCTCAACGGCTGTCCAAGACTAACGCCAGTCGTGCTGGAACCGCGCTGGCTGTGAAGCATGGCCTTGTCCCCTCCAGACGATCGTCGTCCTCCCGAACAACCAGGAAAACGATATCTTGGACTCTGACCAAAGATCCAAACGGCTTGTTAGCCTACTGCTCCAGCGTGAACATCATCGACCGATCGGAAAGGGGCAGCGCGCATACCTCCTCCTCGGGCTCATTGAAGACATCACAGCCGACCCCTCCGTCTGCCGACTCATCATCACAGGAACAGGACGGTCCTTCTGCACAGGCATGGATCTCAACAAGAACTGTACACCTGTAGTACAAGACGGAAACCCGGTGAGGCTCAATTTATCCGTCCCACGCGGTTATTCGACGCGCGATCGACCAGTCGACAAAGGTAACGATCGCTTGCATCAACGGCTCGGCGTTTAGCGGGGGTGCAGGTCTCGCGTCTGCCTGCGATATTCATATAAATATCAAAACTGCAAATATGATTCTGAGCGAGATGAACCATAGTATTTTCGCTTGGATTAGTCTCAAGTACGCGCGCGATTCATGAACGGGTGACGTTTACGCGGCAGGCGATGCTTTGGCTCCTCCAGTGAAGTCAATCGAATTGAACGAGCTGGGGTTATCTCGAAGTTACAGTTAGTTGAAAGGGCTTGCAGCAGCGGTTGGATAATGTGTCGAACCCGTCGAGGGGTTCGTCGCCAGGTGGGTCGAGGAAATCCAAGGAGTGGATTCGACTCGGGTGGGCTCGTGTGGGGAGGAAAAGAGATTTGATGAGATGATGAGCCGGATATTGAACGTGCTCATGGTCATGGCTGAGAGAAAAGGTGGACAGCATGCGTATACGCAATAACGGCCAGGGATGAAGCTGTGGATGTTGCCATAGGCAGCATGCTAGATTACCAGCACTAACCAACATATATAGAACATAACGATAGATCATAGGTGTCAGGCAAGAAATTTTCGCATTTGGAGTATATACTCATATTACATTTCTTAAGGCTCCTCGGAATTGTGAATCGTATGTGAGCTTGTCTATTCCAACTGATAAACCTTCCAATGGCAATACATAAGGTAGTCTCACAGTAGACAGACTGGCAACCCATTCGGAGTCCTTGAATAGAGTCAAATCAGTTATTAGATCTCGACTATCTGGTGTAATATTAGTATGAAAAGCGGTAGCCTCAACGAATGCTACCTCTATATCTAAACATCAAGATGCTATGTATGCTTCAGAGGCAATCGACGCAAAAACAGAAGAAACGGACTAGAAAGACAGCTCGTCTTAGCTTCGCCCCAGTCACCGGCACTGCGTAGAAGTGCCAGCTGGTGCGCCACCGAGACAGGTACCATATCTACCTGAGGAGGTTATAGAGGTATTGTCCCAAATTTTGCAGTCCACGAAGAAGGGACGTGGATTGTTTTGATCCCAGTTTTCAGTCGCTGTACATGCACGGCATGTACCAGCAGCCGCCAGTTCTCGTCGACGGCGGTTCTTTTCTAGCTTGTGCCACATATTGGATGCAGATGCAAATGACTGGTAATGCTTGGAGCCAAACTCCAATCGCGGCTAATTAGCGAAGATGTCCGCCATTATGCCGTCTTTAGTGGGAAGTCGAAAGACAAGTATACCCGAAGTGGGAGAAAGAAGACGAAGAGGACGAAGAGGACGGAGAAGTGCTGTAGTCTTGAAAACGGCGTAAGTGGCAGATGTGACCGTGAGGTCTCAGGCAAGGAATGCATTGCTTCCAAAACAGAAGGAAGGTGCTGAGCAGTTTCCCCATTTTGCTTTTTGGAAATTCTCTCCTCTTGTCTTTTTATTTTGCTGAAGCGCCTGCATGAAGCATCTAGTTGTTTAGAATTTGTAATATGGACGGTCCGATTCCTGTAGATCGTGGCCCCTCAAGCTCCTGATGACGACGGTTTCCATCCTCGCCAGCGGCTGTCTCCAACTCTCTTCACAAAAGAATATCCGGTGTCGTTGCGCCGTACACTGAGCCGCATGCAGCTCCCTTATCTCTGGAGACCTCAGTCCCTTATTACGTGCCTGCATGATAAGTCGTCTAAGTTCCAGGAGGCCTCCTTCCACTGGGTCTAATCTCTTGTCCATATTTGTAAGCTTCCGCAAGATAGTCGCGATGAGTGTAGCATGGTTAAGAGATTCTCTCACCCTTCAACTCAAGTATGCCTCTAACCGGCGATTGATAGCTAGATATATGAGTGTCATTGTTATAACCCAGAAGATTGATAGTAGTAGTGAGCGCTATTTGTTTGACGGAGTTGGTGTGTCCATTGTGCGTTAAGTGGAAGGACGTTGGTGGTAAGATTCTCATCATTAGTCACGGATGAGAAGAGAGATCTATATCCGTCTGATGGAATAGAACAGGAATAAAGGGCATCTAATCTACAGGAGAGAAAGTCTCAGCGTAAAGCATCATCAATATGTTGTTAATCGGACACCTACCTCGTTGGCCAGGGCTGCAGCCTTGGACTGCTGACACGTCGCTTAGTGTGCGGTTCTCCTCTCTGGCGTTTGCAATCTGCACTTTGACAAGCCTCGCTTCATCAACGAGTCTCTGTAGAACCTCTATTCTTCACTTATATGGTTGGCTCTTTTCTGTGCCGTCTTCTGGTGGATCCGACTATCGCCCATAAGATGGGCAACACCAGTGTCCAGATGCCGATAGTACCTAACACAGTAATAACGTGAGTCATCGTGATGTGGTTAGTGGAAAGTTGGAGAAGCGCGAGAAAAACAGCGTAAGTGGTAGATGATTGACAGTGAGGCCTCAAGCTAGGAATGCATTGCTTCCAAAACGGAAGGAAGGTGCTGAGCAGTTTCCCCAAGCAAAGGGATGCTTGGGTAGAGTAGAGGTTATGGAGGGAGAGGCTTAGGTTAGGGAGACATATACACATTACACTGTTGTGAATGAGCTAAGGGGTTATCATTAGTGAATGTCTCATTTAACAAGCCAAATTATCCATGCAAGTAAGCAACAGCAGATAGGAGTGAATAATCAAGTAGTATCAAGGTAAGTGCATACAATGAGAACGATCTTTCCTATAGTCAGCCATTGCTTCGTACCCTTCCAATATCATCTTGCTCCGGGACCCATGACTTTTCAGCAAAGATGCATTCCTGTGGGTAAGCGCCTCGAGCGAGACGGCACTCTTCTGCTCGAAGTGAGAGCTGAGTGTTCCATCTGACTTGATTGCCTCCTTCTCAAAATCAGACGAATATTCAAAGAAATGTCTTTTCCACCTGGGATCATTTGGGTCGAGGCCTGATCCTAAGTCGAGCCATTTAGTAATGACTAAGGCAGTCCCTTTCCAATCGCAGTCAACAACTTCCACTTGGTAGTCGATACCGCAAATAGAACACTGGTAGATGTTCGGACTTGATGACTTTTGGCTCGCACGCTTGCAAGTGTCCCACTCTGACTGTATCAAATCCGCTATTGGCGCCCTATGAGCGTAGAGATGATTACATATCTTCAAGTTGGCAAGCGAACTCAGCGTGAAATCCTTTACCAAGCTCCAGCTCTGAATGCGAAGACACAAACGCGGCCCTTGGCATATCTGCGCGTCCACTGACAACAATGATGTGAGTGGCCATAGAGTGCTGGTCTGGACCTCGACGTATGCCAATGACTCGATCGGTATTCCATGCGTCGGGCCGCAGTAATGCCTTTTCATGGCAAGCTGTAAATGTATATGGAAGAAGTAATACCTCCATCCCCAGGGGCGAAAGTTCACTGGTTCCCTCAGCTGCTCCGATCTTTCTAGCTCGTCGTGCTTCGTGGTTGGATAACGCCGCATCGAAGCAGGTGGCCTGATATGCTTGCATTGATGAATGACAGAGCAGGCGTGGCAGTAAACATGACGAGGGAGATCCCGGGAAAGTTGCTGCAAAAATATTCGCCAGTGCTCAGTTTTTGGTTCAAGCCGACTTCTGTGTCCAAAGACGTCAAATAGTCTATGGCTACAAAGCGACAAGCAACACCGATCTGGAGCAGCAAGAAAGTCTGCTATCTCGTACAGAAGTTCGACTGGTAGCTTTTCCAGATGGGAGAGGTTTGTGGGCTGAAGTTCGACTGGTAGCTTTTCCAAATGGGAGCGACGCCAGCAAGGGAAAATCCAACCGAGAAACCGTCTTCTCACTCCCATAATGACCAATTTGTGCCAGTAGCAGCTGAGCAAGAAAATTTGCGTGTTCTGCGTCAAGGAGAGCTAGCGGAGGTGCTGAAATCTTCCCTGGTATGGCAGTTCAGACGTCATGTGCCATTGAACACAAAATTACACTGCTATTCGTCCTATGACAAGAATGGTTGTCTAGATGCCTTTTTTAGTCGATTGGTCTTACGGTTGACATTTGCTCATTCGGCCATGGTTGCGAGCGGAACAGATAACATTCGTTCATGGTTTCAAGTAGACTGCTACCAGATACCCGCTCATCAGCAGTCATGATTCATATCTAACTCAGGGAGAACTGAATGGTCGGGGTTTCAGCAGGCCATTGTATGGTTACAGATTTGTCTCTCTTCTGCTTCCCTGGTTGACCTCCTGCCAGACTCTCAGATACACTATCCAAAAGCGCAAGATGCTTGAAGACCTTCACACCATAAAAGATAAGCCTGGCAGGCCTTGACGGCCACTTGTCATCACCTGTCAACAATAATGCGTACTTAAGAACCAAAGGGAAGGCTGTTTTTTCCTTTTCTTCGAACCGAAGCTGATGGATGAGCAGTACCTACAATGACCTCCCGTTCTTCCAGTAACCCAAATTGTTAATCAGTTCCTATCTCTCCATGCTCACAGCCAGCCCTATTTGAGGATTCAAATGAACTATCAAAAGGGACAACATCTAGATACGCAAACAAGCAATAGCCCAGCATTTGCTTGTATATGAACTTGTACATGTACCCCTTCAATAACATCAACAGACCCTTGGATTTAATGATTGCGAGATCCTAAACGACAAATCCGAGTTTGAGTCATTTAAACCATTAAAGGTCATGTTGAATTCAGCAGTAACAGCCAGCCCTAACACATGGTGTGCAAGTGAATTGTATATCAAGATGGGTCGTCCTGCAGAGACACAAGTCTTTCCTATACTTTATTCGTGATTGACATCATCAAATATTATTCAATAGTCTCCACTAGATCCATAGTACAGAGTAGTACTACTTTTAGTTATAGCTTGGCCATTCTTGTTTCTCTCCACAATTGACTTTATCGGTATGACATCACCCTCCTGTCACCATATAAACCCAGCTTCGCCAACACACACTTCTTTCGATCTCAGCACTTTCTCATCCACTAAAACAAACAATCATTCAATCCTCCAAGAGACTGTATTCCGATTTCTACTGCACAACAGACGCTACTAGATTAGTGACATCATGGGCAACAAGCACGATCACGATACTCCAAAGCTGCATCGGTAAGCATTCGCATTGTATTCTCAACTGGCTGAACAGCTGTGAACTGACAAAACAGCATCGGAAAATGGATGCCCTCGAGCCACGCTGCCCACCAGGAATGGCTGGGCGGAGTCATCACACACGTTGACAAGAACAAGTCCCATAAATTGCACCCCGTTCTGCAAGAATTCAAAGAACTGATCGAATCCAATTCCCGCGTCTACTTGCTCCTCTCCGCGATGTTCGCCGAGATCCCTCGCAAACGACCGTACAGTACCGATCCGACAGGCTGCGCTCAGATCCGCGACTACCACCACCTCCTGGAAGTTTTGAACTACCTTCTGACCACTGCGCCTAGCTGGAACGACTTTTCTCATCGCGTTGGTCTTGTTGGTCTCCCCATCAATGCAGTGTTGGACTGGAGCATGGGTACGCCTAGCGGCTACGCCGCGTATCTGGATCCCGATATCAACAGGATGATCAAGAAGATTCTCAATGCGTGGGGAGACTACCTCAAGTCTCCCGAGTCTGCCTCGGTCCTCAACGACACTTCCAACGGCTGGTTCGGCTCCACGGCCAGATCCGATCTGGAGGAGGTCGGTAACGTTGGTGAGACAAGCCATTCCTTCGAGGATCTGTACGTTTGCGACCCTTCGGCAAAGTACCACGGATTCAAATCGTGGGATGACTTCTTCACTCGCGTTTTCCGCGAGGGCGTGAGACCCGTCGCGTCGCCTGAGGATGACACCGTCATCGCAAACGCATGCGAGGCGCAGCCCTACAAGGTAGCTCACAACGTTAAAGAGCGAGACAGGTTCTGGATCAAAGAGCAACCCTACTCAGTCCGGGATATGCTGAACCACGACAAGTTCACCCCGCAGTTTGTCGGCGGAACTGTCTACCAAGCGTTCTTGAGCGCGCTGAGCTACCACCGCTGGCATTCGCCCGTCAGCGGCAAGGTGGTGAAAGCATATGTCGTCGAAGGGACCTACTACTCCGAGCCGTTGTTTGAGGGAGTAGGGGATCCGTCGCCCCATCAGATCGACCTGAACGGCCAGGTCACCGCCCAGGAGTATAACAGCGCTACGGCGACGAGAGCACTGATCTTCATAGAGGCAGATCACCCGGCCATCGGCCTTATGTGCTTCATGGGTATCGGTATGTGCGAGGTTTCCACATGCGACATCACAGTCAAGGAGGGTCAGCATGTGAAGAAGGGCGACCAGCTAGGTATGTTCCACTTTGGAGGGTCGACGTATTGTCTGCTCTTCCGTAAGGGGGTCAAGGTGGAGGGATTTCCAGATCCTTCGAGAGGTCGCAACATGCCTGTCCGAAGTCATCTGGCAAAGGTTCAGTCTTAGCTGTTGAGTTGTATATAGCAGGTTTCGTTCAAAAGCCCGTATTGTGGGTTCGTGCTTCATGGAAAATTTGTACATACGTACCGGCAGCATGAATCGTACATATATTGACGACAATATCCTTGCAAAGATCTGCGGTCAGAACCCAGTGTTGACCTCACGCAATGCAAGGGCGATCATGACCCTTGCTCAGAGCGCACGCAATGTATGCAGCAACGTTGATCATGTTAAGTTATATCTGAAGGATGTTTAATCAATCTACAGACAGAACCCCCTTCTGATGCAAACACGAAACACGATGTTGATCGATATATCCGCAAGACATGGATCATCAACAACAGTCCACACTGCTGCAACTAACTCGAAGAACACGTACGACATGTCTTATATGGCTAGACATCTATATCACGATCAACAACAAAATATTGCCTGTAGTTATCATTCAGTACATATAAATGTCCTGCGATACCTCCATCCAATTCTCGCCACAGCCAATATCTCACTTCAAAATCCTCCTCTCTTAAGACTCTTATAAACAGTACTCACAATGCACTTTACAACTCTCATCACAACCACTTTGGTGCCCCTGACCATGGTCTCTGCTACGGCGTCGTCGGCATCAGCATCTCCCAGCTCGATTCTGGCGGCCCACTCCAGCCCGAGCTCCGCGCATGCACCAAGTCACCCTGCTCGGTTTGTTCGGCGCGTATTGCCGTCTTCTACGCTCCTGGCATCCTCTGTGTCATCGGCTACTCCTTCTGCTGTATTTCAGAACCTCATTGTAATTTCTGTTCTGCTAGCTAACGGTTTGTTAGACTCCTTCCTCAAAGTTATGGTGATTAAGATGTGAGAAAGATGCGCTGAAGTTGGATATACCTTGTGAGATTATGTCTCTTGGAAAGGCTCATGTAAGCTGGATGGAGAGATGAAGATTTGTGTGTTTAGCTGGGGTGAAATGTCCCTGGCATCTGTTCTAAAGTACCTTATTTCCCTGGTAGATATTAGGTCTCAGTGGAGGTGTTGACAGGAAACTGTGCCAAAGACTCCCCTGCGTGGATAGGTAGCCTCCCTCTGACTAAGATTACTGTCTTCTCAGATAGCAGAGTAGTATTGAGAGGGCTAGATAGCCTCTAGCAGTGCTCTCTTCTATCACTCAAGTCTAGCAGAATTCTATGTATCTGTATGTACGATTATAAACTCGCCTTCCCCCTCGACTCATATCTAATCAGCAAAACCACCAGCCCAGCAGCGACAAACAACCCCCCGCTCACATACACCGGCACACTGGTCTTCAGACTCGCGACGAGCGCGATCACCGGCGCCAGGATCCCGCCCACCCGATTCGCCGCCGCGGTCAATGCATTGCCCGTGCCCCGGTCCTTGGTCAGGAACATCTCGGGCGTGTACGCATAGAGAACTGCATAGAGAATATTACTCGTGAAGCTATACGCGCAGTTCCAGCCCAGTAGGGCAGAAGATGACATGGCCGTTGTAGAGGCCAGCAGAAACGCACCCGTCAGCACGGCAGATGCGCTGATGGCGCCCCGTCGGCCGAGGTAGGGTATCTCGACTAGCACGCCGCCGATCAGGGAACCGGGTAGGCCTGCCGCGGCGATGATTAGCGAGTTCCGGTAGGTCAGATACGTTGAGCCATCGCCGAATTCGGCGCCCTTGGTCTGCTGGATGTAGGGCAGAAAGGCGTTGTAGAGGGGAAATCCGAGGCCAATAAGGCCCCACACAACGATGAGAAGCGAGGTGGACCAAGCGCGGCCGGGCGTATCGAAAAGGGCTTTGACGTGAGTGAGAGTCAAATTATCCAGCCGCTGGCGGATAAGAACGTTTGTCCCGGCAGTAGTGGTCTGGTCTGCGGTGGTTGCAGGGGTGATGAGGTCGTCCACGGACAAGGAGGCAGAGGAGCCATTCCGGCGGGCGACTTCGTGGACGACGGACACGGCATCTTCGTAGCGGCCTTTGCCCATTAGAAACTTGGGCGATTCATACAAGGTGAAACAGGTCCAGCGGAGGAGACACATGACCAGGGCTATCCCGCCCATGGCGATAAGGAAGTACCGCCAGCCCATGTTGTTGGCGCGGGTGCAGGTCTCCTCACTGGGGCAGGTGAGGTTGCCTAGAATCGGCCAGGCGATCAGAGTGGCGAGCAACTGGGCGAGCGACCAGTACACGGACAACACGGTGAGCAGGTACTGGTGCGAGCCCGGGAGGAACTCGAGGAAGATGGCCGAGTCGACGGGGAGGTTCCCGCCCACGCCGATAGACCACAGCGCGGCGAAGACGCATACCGCTGCGAACGTGGGCGACGCGGCTGCCACGAGCCCGAATACTGCTGTCAGACCGATGGTAAGATTGAAGGCCCAGCGGCGGCCGAAGATGTCACAGCCGAAGCCCCAGAACAGGGCGCCTATTAGCAGGCCGATGTTCTGGGCCAGAGTCAGGAATGGCGGATTGGAGATGTGGAATTCCGATGTAACAGGGCCCAGGATGAGCGAGGTCACGATCGGCCAGAGATTGTCGCTTGCCCAGCCGAAGCCGATGACGATAAAGAGTTGCCATTGGTAGGCACCCATGCCAATACTCTGGATGGCAGTGTTGAGTGTCGCGGCGTTGAGCCGGTAATCGGTGAGTTTGTCTTGACCGTCTGCCATTTTGATTCACGAGGTGAATTTGATGAATTTATTGCATCAAATATGATGACGAAAGAAGGAAAAAAAGATGAAGACTGAAGGACATTTTCTGCAAGATAGATGAAGATTCAGCCCCGCGTCAAATACGGATGACGTGATTGGAGCCTTGTCTGAGATCAACAAAATTCTGCATTTAGAAGATATGGATGCTTTCTCGACCTTAGTGTGCTTGGTATCGCCATTTCATGTTAAATAATCCAAGGAAGGAAAAGAAGGGAGAAAGAGGAGAGACGAGTGAGCAGTTCCAGAATCCAGAACAGAATCTAAAAATGAATTATTTGTTAATATGAGTGAACTCTGATATACTCATGAAGCCATAAGCATAGTGATAATTCTTATAGTATTAGTTCTTATACTATTAACTTTTTTCCCCCATTGCTATGAGAATCTGATGTTTGATATTCTTCATTCATCTCAGGTCTTCCTACAGCTATACAGATTGCAGACCCTAGGGCATGGCGGAGCGATTCAATCGACAAGTGGAGTCATCCCTCAGGACCCTCACCACTCCAGAAACAAAAGTGGATTAAATTGATTCAAGTTCATCTACTCATTCTGATCATAGACCAGCATCTCTCAGATTACCTTGATCGATATATAGCATAGAATCTAAAGTTCATAATGCCATTCATGGATCCTAACGACATCAACATTCTCGCTCACTTCCTCGCCTTCAACCAAATCCCCTCACCTTCCCCTCCACCACCAGCAGATGTCCTCGTCCTCTGCGTCTCCGCCATCCTCCCCATAGCAGAGAAAGTATTCACACATCTTGAGAACAACCCAACAGCAATCAAAACCCTTGTTCTCTGCGGCGGAATCGGCCATTCCACCCCTCATCTCTACGAAGCGATCGCCAACGATCCACGCTACGCGCATCTCCTCCCGGAGATTGACGGACTGCCAGAAGCACAGGTGCTCCATCGCATTTTTACGCGGTGTTTTGATGCACCGCGGATCCAGAAATCATGTCATGTCTTGATAGAAGACCGATCCACGAACTGCGGCGCTAATGCAGTTGAAACGAAGAGGGTTCTTGAGGAGAATGGCATTCATCCCCAAAGTATGCTGATTGTGCAGGATCCGACCATGTCTCGGCGGACGGTGGCATCCTTTGAGAAGGCATTTTCTGGCGCGGGGTCCCTGCGGTTGACCAGCTGGCCGACTTTTGTTCCCAAGGTTAGGCTTGAAGGGGGGAAGCTGGTGTATGATGAGTCGATTGGGATTGACGTCTCGCGGTTGTGGAGGTTACCGCGGTTTCTGGGGTTGCTGATGGGGGAGGTTCCACGTCTTAGAGATGACAAAGAGGGGTATGGCCCCCGAGGGAAAGGGTTTATTGTGCATGTTGATATTCCGGATGAAGTAGAGGAAGCGTGGAGGAGGATTAAGGATGTGGAGATGGAGTTGGAGAGACGGTAGTGTCTGGGACATAAGACAAGTTGAAGTCTGGCGTCTGGAGGCATCTTTGTCTGTGTTTCAGTTGAACTGCCATTCGAACCACTGGAGTGTATATAAATCTGAAGTAATTCTAGACTTGAACTTATTTCTCCAACACTCCATCACTGGTGCGCAGAACGGCCGACTCAACGTTTTACCGATATTAGGCCACAGCGGTCAGTATGGCTGACACTTCCTTATAGGATATAATAATTCTAGTCATATTATAACTATCTCTGCTAATTATAGTCCTGAGTTCCTTAGTTATATATAACTATTTCTTATTATACTCACCCTTTAGGGTTACTATTTATATCTTAGGTAACACATACAGGTCACCCCTACCTGTGTTAAAGGATATAATCTAAAGTCATACAGGCTTAGCTGACTACTTATCAGGGGAAGATTAGAACCTAGGAAAATCCTTAAAATGGTTCAGCAGCCTCGCAGGACGTAGGTATGGTTCATGATGATGGATCTTCGCTAACTCAGTGTCAAGGATAAAGATTCGAAGCACAGTGCTGTGGGGCATCAGTGACGTTATATTAAACGGGGAGAATAGCAGATGGTACGGTTTCCTCTCTTCTATGGGGACCTAATGCTTCCATGCGGATTGCAATTGGCTATTTGTCAGGTTCGAAAGATTCGAGGGTAACCCAGGGGATGATATCAAGCTGGTCTCATTATCAGAGCGTCTACCTCTGAAGGGCTGGACATGACCTTGCTTCACGGCGGTCAAACACATACAAAGATACCACATTATCCCAGGGATTGTTGCGCCAGTTGAGACCTAGGCTATTTCTGTCCGTCAGGTCTGCTGATTTACATTCAGGATTTCCTACCTCTCTCACAGTAGATAGATGTCTATACATCATCTTTTTCCCTCTCTCGATGAGAAGCCAATCAAGATGCCTTCTTTATTTCAAGGTCATTTGGGCCTTTTCTATGACACAGTAAGGACCTCAATTTCTGACGGAGATCTCCGTTCAGTGAAGAGAGTAAATGGCTTCCAAGGCAACCTCCGTCAACAGAACTGATGCAATGGAAATCTCCAGTAAAATGAAGCCTACAGTGAATTTCAAGGCAGTCTTGAGCCTGAGGCAGTCTAATAGTTATGGGTATGTAATCTCACAGATCTGACACTTCACTCACTAACCATCGTTCATCTCTCTCCCCAGCTATCGTGCCCAGAGTCTCGATAGCACGACTTAACGCCAAAATGGCCGTCGAAATCCTGGATTTCCCCGTCGAGATACTCGAAATGATCTTCTTCGAAGCCATCCGTCCGTGGGAAGATGACATTGATGATATTATGGACTATGAGACTGGCCTCTGTATTGCTCTCACGTGCAAAAGATTCAACCTCGTTGTTCGACATGTGTTGTACCGCCGAATCGAGCTGGGCACGCCAGATCTTGATCCCGTCAGCAAACCGGCTGAAGGACTGTTGCAGACTCTGTCCTTGTACCCTGATTTGCAACCCACATGCCAGTCCTTTCAAATTTACCTCGGACAAGAAGCCTTTCAGCAAAAGACATTCAAAACAATCAGCAAACTGGTGTCTTTGCTTCATCGCGTGCGCGTCTTCGAAGTTTCCTGGAGCAACGGTGGTCATCCGTTGGCATGGCTGCTACTCCTGAAAGCCATACAGATGAACACTCTGGAGGAGATTCGAGCTGATGACTACTTTGTACCCAGTGAAGAGGCATTGGAGATACGAAGGCGAGATGTCTGGGCCGTGAGTATGGCTGCTCTTGGGGACAATATTCCTGGAAATGTTGCCGATTTTCTCGACACTCAGGTGAGTTGAGGCCATCTGTTTGTTTCCATCCACTTGAATTGCCCTATACACGCGCATCTTTACAACTTCAATAAAGCTGACAGTGCAAAGAGTGAAAACGGAACACGCCCTGTTATCAAGACCGTGAAATTCAACGATTTCAGCCAGTCCCCACGACTACTGCAGGAGATCCTTACCTGGTTCACCGGACTCGAGCATTTTGCCTTTACATTCAATCGCACGTATGATGGGAACTACACATGGAACTACGTCAACCTCGGAGCGGCACTCGACCGTCACAAGGAGACGTTGAAGTCAATTCTGATCCGCCAGTGTGACCTTGACTGGGTTGGTCTCTTCGACCTGACAAGCTACACCAATCTTAGAGTTCTCGAACTCACATTCCACGACACCGTAGTTCCATCACCCGAAGCTGCCGCGACCAGACTCCTTGCGCCGAATTTGAAGCTATTAGTGTTCGACTTCTGGACGGTCGTCCGCGAGAAGGCCAAATACAACCTTATTGAAAAGCGCGACGAAGAGTGGTTAGTGCAATTCGGAGAACATGCGTCCAAAGTACGAAAGTCTCTCCCCAGGGTGCACGCCAAAATTGCCGCCTACGCGTTTCAAGGCACCGAGAGGGAGCTTTGGGACTCCCGCTGCACGTTTGAGGATCTTGACAATATCCAGGACCAGCTGCAGGGCTACGGCATTGATTTTACGTTCGACGACCCTCCTGTCTCAAAAGAAGAATTCCAGGAATGGATACGAGACAAGGATGAAATGGACTTGCTTGGGGGACTTTGGAGATACATGAACCGCTACGCTGCATACCACTCAGACAAATCAGATTCCGGATTTGAATCTGATACACTGGATACCGGCGAACATGACGAAGTGGCCCAGGAATCTACAGACAAATCGGATACAGAGGAGGCGGAAGAAGAGACCCCAAACTTGATCACGTTGTCCAGCATTAATGTATCAAATCTTGACGAACTTGCGCTTTTCAGCTTTCTGTGTCATGATATTATTGAAATTTGTTGTCCTCTCCATGAAACTAGGCGCAAGATGTCTAATTTGGCTATTGGGAACGTGTAAAGTCCATACTATGTGAAATACAAATATTTGTACTTAGTAGACAAGAACCCTGTTCTCTTTTTACTCTTATCATTCTTCTTTATTCAGGGAGGGCAACACGAAATTCTGCACCTTTAAGAAAAGTATAGTATGCACTTGAAGTCCAGGTCGGTTGACTGTATGACATAATAGAGAATCCTCTGTTGTCGAGTCAGTTATCGAAAGGGAAGTGTATGGATGTTTAGAGGGTGAAGGCATCATTTATGTGGCAGAGAAACGTTGTTCATTAGGTTTCTGGCTTAAAGAAGACATGTTGATCTTGTTGCGAGCCTCTGGTTGAGGACTTGAAAGTTATCCTGCAAAGCCATCACTTCCATATAGACTAACACAGCCTAGTAATAGTTCAGGAATTCAATGGGCGTGATAACAAGGTGGTCTTAATATCAGAGTACTATCTCTAACAGAAGGGATTTGACATTTACTTTATGCAGACCAGGTTAAACACATATAAAGCCGACACATTATCCTAAGAATTATTGCGCATGTCAAGTTTCTTTCCTGTATACTTTTGAGCTAGACCTGCTGATTTCATACATTCAGAACTTCTCCTAGACAAGTTATTGTATCCTGGGACTATCCAAGAGAGCGAGAACGCTTCCTTTAAACAGCGAACGAGCAGATAAATTTGCTAATCATGTTTCGAGATTCGTTACACTCCTTTATCTCTGCTGCAATTCTATACCAATTATCGGCAATATGTCAATATTGAATTCAAACAGGAATCAATCACTTGCGATACCAAAATGACCTGTGGCTGCGCGGTTGGGATATATGACATCATCGCAATCAATACTTAGATCAGTCCTAGGACAAGATCTGAAATACTCATTCTGATATCCACTAAAGTAAGATCATCCACAACGGTAGCTGTCATCTACGCCAAATAAACAATACTACTTGCATGATGTACCTTAATCGCCACCAACCCCACATGACACGCGCGATGATATCAACCATGGAAGTTGCGTCAGCCAGCAGCGCACCATGGTCTCATTGGCAGTTATTCCCCGGCGCTGCTGTCTGGATATCCATCCCGGCTGCTGGGTCAGGGCTGACGTATGGTGCCTGTGCATGTTCCTGTTGGTATATAAATCATGCTGGTAGACTCTAGCTGACAGGACTACTACCACCTACTCCCTACCAACAATCCAAAGCAATTTCCACCTGAATCTAAATACTCCTCCACTACCTCACATCAAAATGTCTGAAGATCAGAAACAGAACCGTATGCTCTCGCCCCTCTGCCTCTTGCGCAAGATTCAGGCTGATTAAGACTGACAGCTGGCCTCCTCGGTGGTCTTGGGACTACTCTAGGCAACACCGTTGGCGGCCTCACAAACACCGTCGGTAACACTGTCGGTGGCCTTGGACAAACTGTTGGTGGCGCGACCAAGGGACTCGGAGAGACAGTCGGCGGAGCCACCCAAGGACTCGGAGACACTGTGTCTGGTGCTGGGCAGGGACTGGGACAGACGACAAACAGTGCAGGCAACAGCACGAAGGATACTTTGGCAAGCATTGGAGGAGAGAGGAAGAAGTAATGTTACGATGTACGATGGTCGCTTCTGATTTGTATGTTTCTTCTGATTTACTTCATGAATAATGAGAGAGCTTGCTTGTTCAACGGCTATTAAGCGTACTATATATAAATGATGATTGACGGACCAACAGAACCTATGCACGCAATATCTCTAATCTCTTTCACTGTCTCTGTATTTGATATGGCGAAAGCAAACCTGACATCAATTGGATTGATTGGGTGCGTGATAAAAATAGTTCTGGCTTGACATAACAGAATGGATTTGTCGGCCGAATTGACTTTTCAGTGTACCGGCTAACCGATGATGACTCAGTCGGCAATCTCGAAGAAGACAATGAAGTGTAAATTGGGTCATATAGAGCTCATCTCAGTGAACAATGAACAGTGAACAGAATGTTAAGCGTTAACCTTCGGAGCCTCTGAAATCTGCGTCGTGGTGTATATGTACAGCATTCTTTGCTGGATTGAGTTTTGGTCCCTCACAGCGGTGGCGGCCATCCTTACTTCGATCCATCATCTTCAACTTCCTCGAAAATTGACAGGAGTATATTCATCAGCATAATGAGCTGCACCAATACAAATTCTCAAACACAAACCCAGCTTACAAAACATGATGTGGGCTGGAGGAGGATTGTCCGCAACTTTACCCCTTCGTACGCACCTTCTCCCATTACAAGCGAAGAAACGACTAACTCCGAATAGATGGTTCTCGGTTACTATGGGCACAGGCATTGTATCAATTCTTTTAAATACACTCCCCTACAATGCTCCATGGCTATACTGGATCTCCGTCGTCATCTTCGCTATCAATGTCCTCCTCTTCGTCACAGGATGTATCATCAGCTTATTGCGATATACACTGTATCCGGAGATCTTCGGCGCCATGATCATCCATCCCGTGCAGTCAATGTTTATTGGGACATTTCCAATGGGCTTGACTACGATTATCAATATGTTTTGTTTCGTTTGCGTCCCGGCGTGGGGTGAATGGGCCAGAAACTTTGCCTGGGGACTATGGATCTTCGACGCGATATTGTCGGTGGTGACGGCGCTGTCATTGCCCTTCTTGCTGTACGTCTTCACTCCGTTCCAAAAATATCAGAATATGTGAACTCAGAATCGCAGCATGGCCCATGGAAACGAAACGCAACTTTCCTCCATGACTGCCGTCTGGCTGCTCCCAATCGTAAGCTGCATCGTTGCAGCTTCCTCAGGCGCAATCGTCGCCGATGTTCTCCCCAACCCTCAACATGCCTTATGGACGGTGCTCGTCAGCTATGTCCTCTGGGGAATTGGCGTGCCCCTCGCCATGATGGTCATGGTAATCTACCTCCAGCGCCTGACCCTCCACAAGCTGCCACCCAAGGCCGTCATCGTCAGCGTTTTCCTGCCCCTGGGACCGTTAGGTCAGGGCGGTTATGGGTGAGTTTTTTATCCATCATTTTCGCCACTTCACATACTAATCTCACGAACAGAGCAATGAAACTAGGCAAATCCGCTCAAAACATTTTCGCGCAGACACATACACTGGAGGCCTCGTCCGGCCCGACCTTCTACACGCTGGGCTTCCTCGTCGCGCTCATTCTTTGGTCGTTCGGACTAGTTTGGCTGTTCTTCGCGTCTGCTTCTATCGCTAGATGCCGCAGCTTTCCTTTTAATATCGGCTGGTGGGGGTTCACATTCCCGCTCGGAGTCTTTGCGGCCAGTACCTGTCAAATGGGTCGAGAGCTGCCATCAGAGTTTTTCAAAGTGCTCGGAACGGTACGCCCTCCATTCGTCTATTGAAGAGAGCAAGTCACTGACTTATGGCAGATTATTTCGCTCTGTGTGGTGGTTTTATGGATGGTGGTGAGTATTGGGACGTTAAAAGGCGTTGTGTCAGGGAAGCTGTTCTTTGCGCCATGTTTGGGAGATTTGAAGCTGAAGGAGGAGGATAAGGATGTTGCGAAGGCTGCCTGATATATGTATTATTTCTGGTTATATAGGAGACATGTAGATTGATAGAAAGTATGCTAATAAACAATTATCTATCATGAACAGATCTCGATCAATAATAATATATTATAAACTTAATCTCCAAGAAATAAAATATTGGGTGKGAGGAAATAATGGGCCTGATATTTAATTTTTGATCGAGATAATTATTATTATTATCCATCGATTTTCCACATTTTATTATTTTATTGATTTAATTTTTCCTCTCCTCTTTATTTTTATTATTATTTTAGCTCCGTAGTTCTCGATCTCTATGGGGTAGTGCCAGCAACATCGGACTGCCTGATATCTTGACATGACAGACTGCTTCCTTCAAACCACAGCTGTCTACTCCGTATTCAACGCAATTGCTCTCTCTCTTGCACTTGGACAAGGCATATAATCCTGGGTGACTCATCTTCGCGACGACTGGTGATTTGAGAAGGGCCAAGTAGACACGAAATCACGTGATGTGGAGCCCCCCCAAAAATCCAAAATCCAGAAAATGGAAAATAAAAAATAAAAAAAAGAACAACGCCGACAGTCCATCTCGCGATCCCCAAACATCCATCGTCTTGGCCGTTGTTCAGCGTTGATTTCATCAGAATCCCCTTCTGCTCCTCATTGCTGTTGTTTTTCTGCTTTCTTTCTTGCCCCAATACCGCCTTGTGCTCTTGCTGTGCTGGGTTATTCATCCTGACAGCCTTTTCTCGTGTATTATTATTCCTCTCAACTTGCCTAATCACTGCGCCACTGGGTCGAACCCGCCAGCCGTAGTGACGGCCTGAGGCCACAACGATTCTCAGCCATAATCAGACCAGACAAGAGTTGGCAGAACCTAACCACCACCTAAGTTTGTTTTTATTGAAACCAATTGTTTCTTCTTGACATACGTTCACTTGCTGGGACTCTATCTGTGAACCAATCCTGATTAATCATCTGTGGTTGATTCCCCTGTGATCATCATCACCAAGCCGCGTCATTGTTATCATTGGTTCGAGACGCGCTGGTCACATGTCCTGCTGAGAGACAGCGTCCTAGGCCCATCTCGATACAGCGGACTCCTCGTCTGGGATTCCAGAGGAAAAATTCAAGCAAGATGATGGGATACGGGGGCCAGCAGTATCATCATCAGCGTCAATCACAGCAAAATCCCCATCCCCAGCAGCAGCACCATCTGCAATCGCCTTCGCTGAGCGGGGCCGCTGCGCAATCAGCCCATGGCAGCAATGGCATTGCTGCCAACGGTTCCCTGCTCCGGGGCCAGCAGCAGTCAGAGCTGGCGACTAATTCGCCCGATCTGAGGAAGATGACTCCCTCGTCGACGGGGTCGATGGTCGGGTTCACCGCGGGAGGTGGCTATGGCACCTACGGTCATTATGCGCCTCAGGGTACCTCGGATCTTTTGTCTAGGCATACCGACTCCGTCGGTCAATTGAAAGACCCGTATCTCTCGCAGATACAAAGTCTGCAGAGGAACATGAATCCCATGGCAAACTTTCGTGCGCACCCGGCCATGAACCCTCAAGCCGCCATGTCGCCACATGCTCAAGCTATGAGTATTTCGTCTCCGCAGCAGTCTTACGAGAGGTTGCAACAACATCCCCATATGCAGCATCGACAGACATCCCATACACATCCGTCTGTGACTTCGCCTGCTGCTGCGTCGCCCATGCTTGCAACTACTCAACCTCAGCAAACTCAGCAGCAATACCAGCAAGCGCAACAGCAGCAGCAACCACAGTATCCGCAATCCTCACAGCAGACCCCGTATCAACAGGCCCACGCGCAACCGTCTCCATACCAACAGCATCAGTCGTCTCCGTTTCAACAGCAACAGGCGCAGGCATCGCCATACCAGCAGACGCAGCAGACTTATCAGCAGCAGCAAGCTCAGCAGACTTATCAACAGCAACAGCAAGCTCAGCAGTCACGGTATCAGGCGCAGCAGCCGCAGCAGCATCAGTTCCAACAGTATCCGTATCAGCGGTACCAGCAGGCTCAACAGGCCCAACAGGCGCATGCACAGCAAGCACAACAGACACAGGTACAGCCAACACAGCCGGCACAGCATGTCCAGCAGCAGCCTCAGCAGACTCAGCAGCACAACCGCCAGGAAGCAACACAGACGCAGCAGTCTCAACAACCGCACGAACAAGCAGTGCAGCAAGCTTTGCAGCAGCATCGCCAGACTCAGCAGCAAGCCCAGCAACATCAGAGGCAGTCTCAGCAGCCGAATCCCTACGCCCAGCAGGTACAGCAGCATACGCATCAGTTCCATCAGCAGCAACAGCAAAAGCAAGCGACGCCATCAATCCCACCAGCTACTTTGAGCGGAGGAGCAAAGCCTGCAGCTCAAGAACCCAAAAAGGAGGAAACGAAACCGACGAAGAAGCGTGGTAGGCAGTCCAAAGCCGCTGCCGCTGCCGCTTCTGCGTCGCCTGCGGCCACTGCAGGCAAGATCAACGGAACGACGAAACCAACACAACCCACCTATCGTCCCGAGGCTCCATCACCGATTCAGTTTGTGCCTCAGCATCCGCATCTTCCGCAGACTCAGGCCCATACTCAGGCTCATACTCTTGCTCACACTCAGGCGCAGGCGCAGGCGCAGGCTCAACCCTATCCTCAAGTCCAGCCTCAGCCCCAGTTTCAACCACAAGCTCAGGTGCATAATCAGTTGCAGAACCCCGCAGCTGTCCAAGGCAAGACCCAGGGCCAAGGCCAAAGCCAAGGTCAACCGCAGGCCCAAGGCCAGGCTCAGAGCCAACAGCAAGGTCCGGCGGGTCCAGCGGGCGTGGCGGACCCAGCTGCTCCAGGTGCTTCACAGCAACCTGCTCCTACACCCCGGAAACGCGGCCGTCCACGGAAGAATCCCTTGCCCGATGGAACACAGCCTCCAAAGCCGAAGCCTAAGAAATCCGCTTCGTCCGCTGCGGGTGCGCCCGCGCCTGCCGCCGCTGGCGGTGCCCCGGCCGGCACGGTCGTTCTCGGACCCGGTCCCAACGCTGCCCCTGGCGCAGCTACCGCTCCGGGTCCTGCCCCGGTTCCTGGCCCCKATGGTACTATCCCTGCTGTTCCTGTGAAACGAGGCCGCGGACGTCCCCGTAAGTCAGAGACAGCCGCAGGCACAGCCCCCAAACCCAAAACACCGCGCAAGCCATCCACCACGAAACCGGGCGGCACTGGCCGGCCACGCGGTCGTCCTCGCAAGGCCGATGTGGAAGCACGGAAGCGAGCCGAAGCCGAAGCTCAGGCCAAAGCCGAGGCAGAGGGGCAAGCCCAAGGACAGGGACAAGGACAGGGGCAGGGGCAGGGACAGGGACAGGGACAGGTTCCGGCGCAGGTTCCGGCGCAGGTTCAAGCTCAGGCTCAAGCTCAGGCACAGCCGCTGCCACAGGCGCAGTCGCAGGCCCCAGCTCAATCTCAAATGCAGATTCCCGTCCAGCCTCAGCACCACGTCCAGCCGTCACCTCAACCTCAGCCGCAGCATCTCCAGCATCAGGCGTCTCCGCACCTGCACGCTCACGCGCATGCCCTCGCGAACCCGCATCAGCATGGTCACCAGCAACAACATCCCCACCAACAACACCAGCCGTCCGATCCCATGATGTTAAACCCGCCCCAGAAGCGCGGCCCGCCCATGGACGCGAATGACCCGCGCAAGCGCGCCTACCTCATACCTCATCAGCTGGCGCAGATGACGCCGCAGATGCATCCACAGATGCACCCACAAATGCCCCCGCACATGTCGCCGCACATGTCGCCGCATATGCCCCAGCAGATGTAATCTGTTCCTTCAGTTTAAGCCTGTTTCGCGTTTCGATATCATTTTCTTCGGCCCGGCTTTTTTTTATTGTCACTTGTGAATTCGTCTTCGCTTCCCTTCCTCGAACTACCTGTCTGTTCCATGTCTTCTTTCGTGATGATATTCTGCCCATGTCTATGGATTGTTTAAACGGCATGCATCTATTCATACGTTTTCCCAGGCCCCAGTTTCAGTCATGTAATTCAATTTGTTAGTAGTTAGGTTAAGTGGCTAGTAATATACCTCTGATATCGCCCTCAATCCATTTCGCTCCATCTGATGCTCCATACATTTACGCCAGTAACAGACTTAACCAGAAAAAAAGCATATCCAATATGTAATAGGATCAACCCCAAACGCCATCCGCCTCTCCTCCATTACCGTTGCCGTTACCGTTGCCATTGCCATTACCATTACCATCGCCATTCCCATTCCCACCCGGCATGAAACTCGTACTCGAATTCGCAACAGTCGGCGTAGACGACGCAGGCAACCCCGCCACATCGGGCAAATCACCCACCTCAACGCCCATGGTGGGCGCAATGCGCCGCATAAAGCTATCGCAGAGGACGAACGCCCTCCGACTCGCGGCATTGACGGACCCCATGGCATGCAGCCAGCGGAGGGATTTCTTGGTGCAGCGGATGACGGCCGCGGTGTCGGGGGCGGGGCCGAAGGTTGCGGCGTTGGGGACGGGGGTGGAGGGGAGGGGGGCGGAGGATGACAACCCCAGTAAAAGGGCGGTGGTTGCTTGCATTATGTAGTGGAGGATGCTCCACCAGGGGGAGAAGCGGAGGAGCCAGGCGGGGTCGGGGGTTTCGGGGAGGATGGAGATGAGGGTGCAGGCGGAGCGGAGGCAGGAGGCGGAGAGGTTTGTGCGGTGGCTGCTGCTGGTGGTGTTGCCGCTTAAGGTCCCGCTGGTGGTGCTGGGCCCGCTGCTGATGCTGGGGCCGCTGTTGGGGTCGTTGGTGGTGGTGGCGGTGGAGGTTGAGCGGGTGGTGGATTTCAGGTTGGGGTTGAGGGCTGCGTCTGGGGAGGGGGAAGGGGAGGCAGGGGAGGAGGGTTCCTTTGAGGAAGGGTCCTTGGAGGACTTGGGCTGTGTATGGGTGAGACAGGGTCGGCTGATGGTTATCCGGGCGCTATAGTAGGCGAATGCGAGGCAGACGCGTTCGCGCATGAAGGAGTCGTCGGGGAAGTGTAGGGTGTCGTGTGGGTGCGGTTGCGAGGTGAAGCGGTAGACTGGGGGTAACTGGGCGAGCCAGGTGTCCAGCTTTGCGGAGTATTTGCGCACGCGCTGTTCGAATTGGGAGGATGTGTCGCGGAGACCTTGGATGCTGTAGACCTTGTTGATGACAGCCTGCGTGATGGTGCAGAGGTCGACCAAGCAATGAAAGAAGAGCGAGGGGCTGGGCTCGCAGTCGGCAAGCCACTGCGTTTTCGACTGGGCTTCTTCGTCTGTCTCCAGAAGGGTGAGCTTGAGATGACTGGTCCGGAGTGATGGATTCTGGAAGAGCCGGAAAACGTGCGGTTTCTCGAAGTTTTCTTCTTCAAAGGGGATGGGGAGCGGCGCCGCGCTGAGGCCTTCGCTGACGCAGGAGGCGCGTCCCGTCGTGGCCGTCAGGAGATGCTCGACTAGGTAGATGGACCACCATAGCCGGCTGCGGGCTTCTTTGGACGCGTGATGCGTCCGATCGTCCTCAAACCGCAGGTTGATGCCGAGCGACAGCGCGGAGCGGAAGGCCATGCCGGCAAAGTTGGAGGCACGGTTGATTTGGCCCAAGACTAGCAGATACAGGGCCACCAAGATCTCCACCTGGATCTGCTGTAGATCTGTATGTTCAAACAGCGCGGTCTCGCCCAGACACAGTTTCCGCGCGCGGTTAAAGTAGACGAGGTCGTCCCAGTCCTCATCGTTTCCGACGCCGACTGCATCGTTCAACAAGAGACAATACCGGCAACCCAAGGCAAAGATCATGTTCAATATCGCCAGCCATCGTTTTGGCGGCTTGGACGGTTGACTGAAGAACTGCCGGTACTGGGTCACAAAGATAGTCTTCCGGATCACCTCGAATGCCGGATGCATCGACTCCATGTACGCCGCGAAGAACCGGTCCGCGAGTTCCTTCGGCGGCAAGTCATACGGGTCGACATCGTCCATGAGCCGGATGTTCAGATCATCGAGGTGGTAGCTCATCGTCGCGATGGGAACATCGTTCTTTTGCTGCGGCTGTTCTTGCTCGTCCAGACCCAGAGTCTCAAAGTTACCGTCGAACATGCGGCTGCGGTTCTCGGCTTCGTCCTCCAGCTTCTGCATCCAGGTCACCTCGGAGTTTTTCCCAAAGTACCCGGTCGCTCGCGTCTTGTGGCTTCGGTTCAGATCCTCTTCGACCAGATCGATGGCGTTGAGCGACCCGGCCGACGAGCTAGAACTGTCCGATAGCGCGCCGTCATTCTCGTTGTCCCCGTTGGTTGTCTTCAGAGTCCTCCTAATACGTCGCGCACAGTTCGCATCCACCTCCGTCTCCAAGTCCCGCAGTAAACTCTCATACCGTTTGACTCGGTGGGACAAAACCTCCAACTGCTTCTGATCCCGCACCCGCTTCACATCCAGATAGGAACAGGTGACATTGTGCTCGTGGCACTGTCGACAGACCGGTTTGTTGCCATCGCACTTGATCTTGCGCTGTCGGCAAGGCTCGCAGGCTCGCGCCGACCGGCGACGCTGCGAATGGATGCTGTACGGCGCAGCTCGGGGGATCGGTACCTTGGCCACACCCGTACCCGCAACCGCGCCAGTACCGTCCCTTCCAGACGAAGAGTTGGAGGACCGATGCGGATAAGGAGGTGGTCTTTCGTATTGATTGGGATATAGATAGTAGCCCGATTGTGGTGTACCAGGGCTCATGGGCAGCCCTTGCCAGTGTAAAGCGGATGAGAGACCATTCGGAGCGGGTTGGTCGGGTTCAAAGCTGACGCCGTTGGTCTCGGTAGGATTCAGTTCGACGGAGGGATAGATCTCGGAAAAGTCTTCCATGGCAGATACAAGGAAGAGCAGGCGCTAGGCTAGGGATTCATTCGCACCAGAGAGGTTCCTAGTTTCGGACAATCCATGCGGATAGCGTCGCGGCTTGTCAAGGCTTGTGGAGGTAAGCGGCGAGTTTCTTTCAAGTAATCAAAAAATATATCCTGGTCAGAATGGCGAGCAACCTAGCTGAGGAGCACAGCTTCAGACAGCTTGAGGATGGATGAACTCATAAGGGCAGTTCTCGCCACAGCGTTGTGACATGGGAGGGCGTTGGTGGTCATCCGCAGAAAGAGAATGGGTGACGTCAAGGGCGCCCTCCGTGCGTGTCCTCCTTAATACAAAAAGTCAATACTCGGACTCCGTCTGTTGTACCGTTGTACCGGCGGTAAACGCATCTAATTAGTCGGTCATTCGGTTGCTTTTGCGATGATCGTCGATTGCCCAATATAGATGATTCCTCTGTTTTCCTCGTGATGCTGCCCTTGGCTCACTCACCCCTGTTACTGCGGACGGAGTAGTGATGTATCAACTATCACAGCCAGATCGACGTCAACACTCACTCGGCTTACGTCGTTCAGGGACAATCTCATCCTTTCCTAGACTCAGGCTCTCGTAGCGATCCAGCATATCGAAGAGTCCCAGTCCCGGATAATCCTGTAGCCCATGTTCCCCCTCCCCAGGCCCATGGTACCGCTCATCCTCGTTCAGCTTCTGTAGCCCCTCGGCATACTCATCCCAGCGCGTCTGCTCCTTGATCGGCGTCTCCTCATCAAACAGATCCTTGAGCTCGTCCGACACCGCACTCGACTGGCGAATCCGGCGTCCCTGCGATTTGGCCCGGACGGACTGTCGGAACAGATGGAACAGGCTCCGACCAAGGTACGACCGACTCGCGATGATCGAAAAGGAGCTGGCGAGCGATAGAAAGTCCGAGTCCAGGATATCAAAGGACTCCTGCTCCAGCATGGCGAACAGGGCCAGATTGATCGCGTACATGGCGAAGTGATGCGCCCGGCTCATGCCGTACTCGCGCCGATGGAGCCGTGTCAGCGACGAGATGCCCCGAGCGGCCGACTGCGTGATCTCCCAGGCGTTGTATTTGCTAATGGGACTCTGTAGCGGCGGGCTCTCAGGGGTCTTGGGCGCATCCGACGCGAGACTCGAGGTGTCGTCGTCGGAAGAACTGCACGAGAACAGGTTGATGACCAGGGTGAAGTACCGCAGTCTCAGCAGGATGATATGCGGAGGTGGCCGTCGTCCGGGATCGAAGACGTCCGGTAAGGCGTTATGCCAGCGACGCAGCCGCTCGTACAGATCGTCCTTTGTCTGACGCCGATACGCGGCCGACGCATTGCTCTGGTCGTCGGCGAACAGGACCCGGGAGATGTCGCGCGCGATCTCGCACAGATTGCACGACTCGTCAAAGTACTGGTTGAGGTAGGCCGGTCGAGCAGCTCGGTGAGACGGATACGGCGTCCACAGGCTGACTCTGTCATCCTCTCGACCGATGCGGTCCACGTTGACTTTGGCTATGAGACTGGGCCGGAGAAAGCCAGTATGCACCACCCTATTCATGTCAGAATTCCGTTCACCTGGGTCGGGGTTCAGAGTTGGAAATTAAACTTACGTGTCGATCTGAAACAACCCCCAGGCAGTCCGCTTGATGGAGACATCCATCTCTGGCGTGGTCTGGTCAATCTTCAAGCATTTCGGCCCAAAGAGACCAAGCGACTCGCCGGCCCGGATGGCCTGATGCAGCATGATGTATCCAAGGTCATCGTTCCCGGAGATGGAGTATCTATCGCATCAGCAGAGCAGGACATTTACAAGACAGGAGGGCACACCTTTCATACAACAGCAACGTCCCCTGGAGGTACGCCAGGCTGAGTTTCTGGGATTCTTCCTCCCTCAGACGCTCCGCTTCAGACAAAAAGTCCGCGCCCTTGGTCACCAAGTC